AAAAGTTGTCGGGAGCATGGTGGTGGTGGCGACGTTGAAGGCGAGCGACGTGGAGGTGTAGTTCGTTTATAGCCTAAGTTTAGCTTTTAAGTTCTGGCGCTTTTATTTAGGCTTCAAAATTCATCAGTTATATTATTTTGTGAAGATTATCTTGATGGACAAAACGTGTAAATTTCATGAACTATGGTTGAACACAGAGCTTAGATAATCCAAAAGCCTATGGAAAAATCCTATAGGCTTTTTGTCACGTGTCAACAGCCGATCCGCCTACAAAGTGACGTCATAGGTATGGAACTTGTATGTTTATAAATGTGCATGAATTCAGTTTAATTATTTTAATAGCTGAATTTCAAAGTAATATAAAGTTTTCACCGTTTGCAATACCCCCCCCCCCCCCCCCACAATTTCACCATTTGATAAAGCTCCCAATGAAAGAAAGGTTTAATCGACTTTTAATTAAATGTTTAGATGTAAAATAAAGGAATTTAGAGAAAACATATTCAAGCTAAATTAAAGATAAATAGTTAATAATTATTCAAATACAGCTAATATACAATATATGTAATCTTGTTTCCATATGCAAGAGAACAGGCTGCCACTAGATGGTGACCATCTCTTTAGTATTGCACTAAATCACCACGCACCACACCCCAGACAAGTTAGGATCATGCTTTAGTAAAAAAAAGAAAGCACACATTTTATTCATTTAGCAACAGTCTTACATAACAAACAGTGTTACGAATGTTTGAATTCTACAGATGTTGTTCATGTTGTTTTCTAATATGTAGGCCCATGTATATACAGTAGGCCTACTGTATGTCATATGCATATATTACAAAGGTTGATTTGATTGAAGGTTGGTCTACTTTTTAGTGGTTTGTGTTTTAGCTTGTAATTGAGTACATCAGTTGTTATTTCTATTATGTGTATTGACATACAAGCATATTTAGACTACATGTCCATGATATGATTTTTGCCCATTTTAAAACAAGAGTTTACATTTGTACTGGTTTTCTGTAAATGCCTTTTTGTTTTTTTAAATGAACTGATTTGAATATTTTAAATTATTTTAAAGTCGTTAAATACATTGGACGGCATTCCTTCTATGTTATCCCACCAGTAACCCAAACTCTGTTATACCTGCCGTAATCCTAATCTCATTTTCTCTACTCTCACTGTTAATGCCATTCAGTGAGACTTAGGTAAACAGTGGATCTATGGATGTGGTTGAATGGTAAGAGGCAAATAGAGCAAAATAAGGTAGGAGAAAGTTTCCACTAACACACTGGGCGAAGCTGTGTGTGTTAAATGCTTAGGGCCACGAAGCAAAACTGTGTACTATCTATTCATCTTTCAAAGTATCACATGGGCCACAAAGAACTAATTAGCATTTTCTTTGGCATGTGTGGAACAGCAGTGTGCGAGTGGAGGTTACGAGCAAAAGAAATGTCACAGCTTGTCTGAGCATCATCTGAGATAACAGAGATGTTATGTACGATTGTATAGCCTACTTGTTTGTATGTATATCTTATATTTATTTGGTCTATTCAATTAACTTATTAAGAATTCTGTCATCATTTACTCACCCTCATGTTCTTCCAAACCTGCATGAATCAAACTTTTTTTTTTTGTTCTAATTGACTTCCATTGTATTTTTGTCCATACAATGGCATTTTTCAAAATATCTTATTTTACATTCCACAGAATAAATAAAGTAATACAAGTTTAAAATTACATTTGATGTGAAAATGATGACTGAATGTTCATTTTTGGGTGGACTATTAATTTAATAGCAGTGGACATACATGTGGTATTTTTAAAAATAGCCTAGATTATTAATAGAACCCCACTTTGGACCTTTTTTTAATGGTGTTCAACTCATAATTTCACATGCTTCTTCAGTACACACACAGTTAACCATGGCTTAAGGCCACTGAATCTTGACAGCTGGCGGTTCCGGCGCATGCGCAGAGCAGTCGCAGAGAGGAAGCGCGACAGAGCAGTAACAACGGACGAGCTGCGGCTGATATCCCCTGACACAATTATGTCTGTCTCGCCACCGCCAGTTTCTCTCAGGTATCCGTTTACCGGAGCCTGAATGGCGTTGGTAACTGTGCAGCGGTCGCCTACTCCAAGCGCAACCTCTAGCCCGTGCGTTTCGGTGAGTGACTCGCATCTTTTTTTCTCCGACACCTTCTACCGCCTCGGTACTTTTGGGTTCATTTCCGCTCTTTCCTATAGTCCGTTTGTCCTCAGACGCTATAGAAATACGCATGCGCGAAATATAGACTCGGAATAACATTGTTGTCCATATGGCTCAACAAATATCTGGCGAGCGTGAGACATGGGCTGTATCTCAATTGTGGAGATTTTCTGCTAAATCTACCGGTTGTTTGCAGTGGCATGCCACAGTCTGGAAGTGTTTTGTAATAATTGCTCAAATTACTCCAAAGACTAGGCTGTGAGTCAAAGCTTCTTTTTTGACAATGTATAAAATATTTCATATTCATATGCAAAATTGATGATGGGATTGGTCTTCAGACGAAAGTCGTTTTGGAACCAGGAAGTAAACACAGCTGTCCCCTAGAAAACTGATCTAGTCATAGTAAACAGTAGGATAGTGAAATGGGATTATAAATGTGTAAAACTAGACTGAATAGCAGGAGGCAGCATTTTTGCTCAAACTAACGTAAAACAAGGGTTTTCAAAAATAAAAAAAGGACCCCAATATTTAATTATTTTCTTGTCAGGCACCCCCTCACCAGGTGCCATTTATTTTCCATGCAGCCTATATATACAAAAGCTTGTCTTTTACTAATATTTTATTTATTTATTTTTGTACCCGTTATTAGATGTATAAGCCTACAGAGTAATTCTGTTCAGTTCAGATTTATTTGTGTGGCTTTTCAAAATAAATTTTGAAATTTTGAAACACAAATACAAACTATTTTAGTTTTATAGGATTTATACTAGTTTCATTAAATTATAAGACTTTTTTACTTTGTTTCCTCACTACTAAAAACAAGGTCTGTTGTATATAATAAAAGCATTGTAATTCATTATAATTTCCTAGCAGTCTTTAGACAGCTAGCACAACACATTTAATAAATATTTAAGACATTAAAGGATTAGTTCACTTTCAAATAAAAATGTCCTGATAATTTACTCACCCCCATGTCATCCAAGATGTTTATGTCTTTCTTTCTTCAGTCGAAAAGAAGTTAAGGTTTTTGATGAAAACATTCCAGGATTATTCTCCTTATAGTGGACTTCAACGGCTACCAAACGGTTGAAGGTCAAAATTACAGTTTCAGTGCAGCTTCAAAGGGCTCGACACGATACCAGACGAGGAATAAAGCCCCGTTCACACCAAGAACGATAACTATAAAGATAACGATATTAGCATCCACAACAGTGAAGATATCGTCTGTTTATTCTAAACGTCTGCCGCTTTAAATTCTCGAGCTCGTTAGAGCAGGATGGATTCTGATTGGCTGTCAATTTTTTTTTTATCGTTTATCAGCTGGAGAAAAAATCGTTTTGAAAGTGATTCCAATGATATCGTTTCTCTTTGTCTTTATCATTATAGTTGTGGTGTGGACTCTGCTATTCTTTAAAATTGAGAACGATCTTTATCGTTATCGTCCTTGGTGTGAACGGGCCTTAAGGGTCTTATCTAGCGAAACGATCGGTCATTTTATAAACAAAAATGCGTGCCTTGCACTGCTCTGCGATGTGCGTCCATGACTTCACGTAATATGTAATTACGTTGAAAAGGTCACGCTTGACGTAGGCGGAAGTTAGGTTTCAAAAGATTTAAACATCCAGGATACGCACACGAAGTCACCGTTTTAAACGATAAACTGACACAAGACATTTGAATATGTGTCATTGAACATACAACAACTTTTGAACGGTCCTCCTTCTCCACATTTGTAAACACTGACTGAGTCGGTCTTTCCGCCTACGTCAAGCGTGTCAACGTAATTACGTATTACGTGAAGTCATGGACGTGCAATCGCAGAGCAGTGCAAGGCGCGCATTTTTTTTTTTTTTTTTTTAGAAAATGACAGATCGTTTCGCTA